CTGGCTCGGAAGCTGCCTGATAACTTCAATGAAGCCAAATTCATTACATTCAGCATGCTCATATTCTGTGCTGTCTGGATCACCTTTATCCCAGCATATGTCAGTTCCCCTGGGAAGTTCACCGTAGCTGTGGAAATATTTGCTATCTTGGCTTCTAGTTTTGGTTTGCTGTTGTGTATATTTGCACCCAAATGTTACATAATTTTATTTAAGCCTGAATTAAATACAAGAAAGAACCTCATGATGAAAATGGCCTCAAAGTATCTTTAATTGAACTGCATACACTATATGCAGTGCTGTATGTGAAGCAAACACAATTTCATGTGGTGCCAGGGAATCTTTAGGATTTTTCACTAATATGCAATCCAACTAATACAAATATAATTTAATTATATTAAACCTATTATGTATTATATTGTTATATAATTTTATCTATTGATTAATTATAATTCACAGACAATAACACATTTTATACTGTATAATAAATTAAGAATTTACATTGTTTTCAACTTAGAAGCATTACTTTAAAATATTATTGTTCTTTGTGCTCAATATGTTGCATTTCATTTGAGAATAACAAAACACATCCAGGGTGTATCCTGCCTTGTGTCCATTGTTTGCTCACAAAGTCTATGGCTCCCCTGCAACACCATACTGAATGAATCTCTTTTGGGTGGAATGGTGGAAAACACATGTAATCAAAAATGTAGATAAAACAAATGTCTGTCTGTAATACTGGCGAGTTCCAAAATATAGCTTTGTATGTAATGATTTGATAAAAACTTAACAAAATATAGTCTCACATACTGCATGCATATACAGTATACAGTAAATAGTGATTTAATTATACCTGATAATTACTGTACAAGTAATACTGTATCTGTTACACCTACTCTATCTAGAAGCCCGAGTCAGTGTGCAGTGAGAGCTGTCACCCAGGCACTCGAAAGGCAGTTCAGAGAGGAAGGCCTGTGTGTTGCTATGACTGCATACGGTGTGCTGAAGGAGAGATCAGCAACACTACAGGTAAGTGGAAGGGTAATCAAAGTTACGTAGAAATGCCCATTTAGTAACTTAATATTACTATACTGTGTTCTTTGCATTGGTGCCATTAAAGCTACAATATGTCCAGTTGTCCAGTCCACAATATCACAATTGCTGTTTTAAAAGGAAATAAAAATGTCACACTTCCCTTACATACAGTATATTTCTAAGTAGTAGTGCTTTTAAGAAGAACACTGTAAAAGAGTAAGGATACTGCACTTCTCTGCCATGACAGTACAAGTACTAATCTCTTTTCTCATTTTCTTACAGATTCTGCTGATTGTGTTCAGTGTCCTTTGGAACATTGGTCTAATGAAAACAAAGATGAATGTATATTAAAATCACTTGAATTT